GGCAAAGGTTAAAGTTCATATGTCTATGGCAAGGTCAAAGACGTCAAGTCAAGCCATTTTGATTGAAAGAATAAAGTTGTTTCGATCCAAACAGTTAAAAAAAATAACTCGAGGTTCAGTCGGTTTACACTCTGCCAAGCATAAGGGAGATGAGACCCGGTTGTGAGGCATTGGCAAAGGCAAGAAATGTTCAGGTCTTCCTATCAAGTCAAAGGTTCATGAAAGCCGCGAGACAAGCTAAAAAGTTGTATAAAAGAAAGCTATTAATGGGTCTGTACAGAACCAAGCAAAGACAAGAGACAAGCTCGAGAATGAAAACGTGGGGTGTACAGTCTAGCAGAGAACTGTGGCGATGTACAGAAAAGAATTGAGACAAGGTCAAAATCATGAAAAGTGAAAGTGGGGTCAAGTAAAGCCAAGCTAAAGAAAAGTGCTTCCACCTTTAAAATCAACTATAATGTGTATCTAATCTTAATTTCTCTTAAACCTTTGAACTTTGAATGTTAAATAATTAGTACATGGTTACCCACTAGCCTTGATTTGCACATGTTAAACAGGCACATGATTTATTATGCATGCAGTAGTCATCAACTGGTTAACTGCAAACGTGGTGTTACTTTGTTGCATGTTGTGCATGGAGATATTGCTATTTCTTTGTTAGCAAATAATTCCTTAACTTAGCGTACATTTGAAGATATCAGAGATGCTGAGGACGCCAAGTATAACTTGAACCATTATAGATTCTATGGTAGAGAATTAGATATTCAGTTTGCACAAGGAGATAGAAAAAGTAAGTATGTCATAATCTTTATTGATGGAATGGTAAAGTTCTTTAGGCCTTCAGGCAGTCATAGTGCCAGTGATGTATCCAAGTGTTCAGCTTGTGTGTTAAACTAGTATGTATTTATAGTGGACTGTTTTTGTAGGGGGTAGAATAAGGTTGGTAATATAGGAAAGCACACTAGCCCAGGTCTTGTTAGTGTCAATTGATCGTTTGATAAACTCAAGATTTATCATATTGTATTCTTAGCTCCAAATCAAATGCGTGGTAAAGAAAGGTTGCCGTCTCGAAGAGGATATTATGATAGGTCTGATCGTGGTAGATACAGATCAAGAAGCCGGAGCAGAAGTCCATATCGTGACAGGTACAGGTCTAGGAGTAGGAGTCCCTACTATCGCAGGTACTGCGCTTGTATCCGGCTTCTTAGTTCTTTAAACAGTCGCATTAGTGTTCTTCTCGGGATGCAAACAGCATGGAAATTACTGCTACCATGATTTGCTCTGCAGCCACAATGGTTTGACTGTCTGTCATTATCCTGTCACTTGCGAAGCCATTTGATTTCCACGGTCATTGCTGGCTTTTGAAATCTAATTAAAGAAATTGCTGAAAAATTAGAACTTGCAAATTAGTAATACATTTTTATCACTACAGTAGTTTGAATTTTTAGAACACTGAATGTGTATTTGGACAGAGCAAGTTCATCTTGGACACTAAATTTGACTAATAGTTTTGTTTCATCTATTTAAATTTGTTAGTTTTTAAATTTTACCACATTTTACATTTGTAGATACTCTTGTAGATTAATTTAGCTTCTATGAAAGAGCAAAGAGAGCTAGAATAGCCAGCTTGAAAGTTAATCCTCATCCTCGACTACTGTAATATTGTGCATGTGTAAACATTGGAGCTTGTCAAATTGACCAATGTTAACTTTTATTTTTTTTTCTCTCGTCAGTCGCAGACGTTCACGGTCAAGAAGCTACGAAAGGTACTACTTTACTTTTCTGATGTCCATGTATACAACTCGTGGCGCTCCACAACTAATTAACCTTGCCACAATGTTTTGTGCTTTTATTAAAGCGAGAGGGTTGTCACCTGTGCACACGCGGGAATGAAGTCCCAATAGATGATTGCACGTGCTAAAAAGGCAAAGGCTCATGCGTAGCCACTAGTTTGTAAACAATGACACACTATGGCCATCTGATGCATCTGCAAGTGAAGACTCTCCCGCTTTAACCAATAGTGTTTGAAATGAGCCAAAATGGTGGTTGTGATACATACACATGATATAATTGCAGATTTTGTTTACAGATTATTGTAATAAGTGTACTTGACTGCTGCTACATAGCTAACAGCATTGACCTTTGTTTTTACTCTAATTTACAGACGCCGACATCGTTCATACACTCGCTCTCGTTCCCATTCGCGATCTCGTACTCCAGATCGTGGTTTGTCTGCATCCAGGTAGGAGTTATTAATCTTTACATAATTTTGCTACTTTCAAACCCATTTAACAATTTCACTTGTTGATGTAAATTTTATTCCTATGCCAATTTCATTTCAGTATTGGTTGCGTGTGTAACAGTGCTTTGGCTTAGGTCAGCAGGAAATTTTTCTTGATCTGTCAGGTTTCACACTGTGAAGTTCAACTGAAAAATTACATAATTGTAGTTCTTCTGTATTTACGCTAAAATGAAAGCTATTTCAAATAATTCACATTTCCACATGTCTATCATGCTGGGCATTTACAACTGGGGACAGAACAGCACGTTTCAATAATGCGTTATTCTCGCTCATTTGGTCGACAGTGCTTTCCAATTTCACATGCCTCTTTGAAGTTACGGTGTACATGAATGTTTAATCTTTCTGCTGTCGGCACAAACGTGGTGGAGAATATTTGTTAAACAAATAATTTCGATTGAATAAATTGAAAAGTTTGCTGCTGGTGTATTGAATCACAAGACCAATATTAAGCTTTATAAAGAATTTTAGTAAACCATTTTCCTTTCTTTCAGGTCTCCTTCTCCGCATAAAAGTCGCAGTCGAAGTCGTTGAAATCTATTACCCTTGACTTCCATATAAAGATGTTCCTGATATCACTTTTAAAGTATATATAACCACCGTTTATTCACAATCGGCCAGGCTGTGAGATTTTTTTTAGTTGCACATTTAAATGGCAGAATATATAACGTACAAGATGGTTGCCTGTGAAGTTTGTTTCTATCTTTATTTATTGTAAATCTTTTGTTTCTAATCTTTGTCATTTATTTCTTAGCGAAGATGTAGTGTAATGTACAAAGGTTTTTCACCCCAGTCAGTAGAATTTCTCAACCACATTTGCAAATTTTTTGTTTGTACTAAAATCATGAAAATAATTTGTTGTAAATTGCCTTTAATGATTGTTGTATTCCGGTTTTGCTTTCCATTCCTGGTTTTCATTCAATTAGCATCTTTCTAGACTTTACTGTTAGTTAGTGACATGCTGTTGGCTATTGTAGACGAGTCAGAAACTGATTATTGTTGCCTGCTTTCTTCCAGTATAACAAAATACTCTTTATTTTCTAGCAAAGTTTGCAATTTTCAGTGTTATCGGTTAATATTCGGAGAAGCCAATTTTAAACAGTTGTATAATCGTCAATGTAACTCTACGTAATATCGGTAGTAGACTGCCTTGTAAACAAATTCTAGAAATGGTATACACGAGATAAAATGTCCAGGATTGTGTCTATTGCTAGTATTTGATCAAGTTCATTTGGCCTGCTGGTACTACTACCAACTTGAAAACTTTATTTTTGGCTTGGTAAATTGCGATAATATTTTGTAAGTCTTTGTAAAGATGTATTCATTATTGTTTTAGTTATTTTTAGTGTGTAATTGCTTTTTGTATCGAGGTTAAGCCATTAAATAACATTTTTATTGGACTTGTTGTGCATTTTATTAGGACTATGGTGTAAAGTTTAAAAGGTTTCAGACTGAGGTAGTGGTTTGTACAACTTTTATTATAATTTGGTCCCCGTCCGTCCGGAGTTGTATCTCAGAATCCCTTGGACCAATTCCGTTCATTCTTTGCATGTGCCTAGTACTTTATGTGGGACATGCAGTGGTTTAGAGATTTGATTCAAAATAGCCAACTGGCAGCAATCTTGTTTTTTGTCGTATTTTGTACATGCTTTGTCAGTTTTCACTCAAATTTATTACATAGATCATGCATGTCCCCGTCCATCAGTGCGTCTGTTTGTCCAGAGTCATATTTCAGAATCCTGTGGACCGATTCAGTTCATTCTTTGCATGTACATAAATTATACATGTCAGATTACATGTCATGACGATTTATTTAGCAATTGGATCAAAGGTGGTCGACTGGCAGGCATCTTGTTTTTTTTATGTGGTATCTTGAACGTCCTGTCAGTTTTCATTCAAATTTGGCACATACATGTACTTTATACATGTTAGGATGCATGTCCATGACAATTTGTTTCAAAATCTGGTCAAGGATGGCAGATTGACAGCCATCTGACTTTGCCTTACTACTATATTTCCACAATTTATGTATCATTTTCATTCGTATTTGGCAAATACATCATACATATCAGTGTTTCATAATCAGATCAAAAGATGGCCGAATAACGGTTGTTTTTATTTTTGGCCATATTGCTACTGTGAACACGTGTTTTGATGTAAATAAACAATCAAGTTTCAAGGACACGCTCGCGACAACCCCTCAGCTTTAATATGATGAGCACAAAGAACTTAATTTAACGGGCACTGCACTGTCATTTTCAATGACTTGTTTGTCTTGGTGCATGGGGTCCATTTTTAAACAAGACGCATGGTAACTTGAAGGAATTTCCTAGTTTAATTTGAAAAGCTACTAATATATTTCAATAAAATTTGATTCTAAATATTTGTGAAAAAAATGTTTTGTCAGTGTTGTGGGCGAGTTGTGGGTGACTAAAACGTTTGAAGCAATCTACAACTGAGGAATAACTTGAAGACCAGCAATTGCAGTGCATAGTCATCTGTGGGTAAAGTTTCAATGAAGTTTGAACATCTGTTTAAGGAATGTTAGATGGCTTTTGAACATCATTTGTTAATAACAAAATTGCCAGCCATTTTTGTATGCGATCTGGGAAAGAATATTTCATCAAGCTCATATAATGCCCAATGCGTGTACCCAGTTTGAAAAAAAATCAATTCATAAAAACAAAATTGCCAGCCATTTTTGTATGCGATCTGGGAAAGAATATTTCATCAAGCTCATATAATGCCCAATGCGTGTACCCAGTTTGAAAAAAAATCAATTCATAAAAACAAATTGACATGAACTTAAGATGCATGGAATGTGATCAGCTTGGACCTGTTCGTAGAGGTATAGTCTAGCATACTTTGTAAGCTGACTTTACTTCACTGTTTAAAAAACTCTTCAACTTTAGTAGTGTAACCCAATTTACTTGGCCAGATTACAAGTTTGATGTGTTTGAGCCAAGGTAGTTGAACAAGATGCCCAGACAAACTACTGGTACATTGCAAACACCTTGCACTGCTGATGGCAGTCTAGTTATTCTAACTGGCCTGGGGTAAGGGCCATGGCAGCTACTATGCAGGAAATTTGCTTGCAAGGTCTTAATTCAGGCATTCCACTTTTCAAGACTTAAATTAATATAGTGGGGAAAGTCTATTTTCAGATTGTTTTATACTGTCAGCATTGTGAAACTTGCTAAATTCATTGTGTAAATCACCACTGATGTTGCCAGGGCACTTGCCATGTTGGTCACGCTGCGACAACAAATGGCAAGTTCTTTACTGTGGCAAAGGGAAATCTAGGTTCAGTACCCACAAAACAGAAGATTTCATGAACTGGTCTCTATAACAATCTCTTGTAACGCTCATTTGTACATTGCGAGTTACCCCTGATTATATTGAATATCTCTTTTGCACTTTGTCACGTGGTAACCAGAACCCATGCAATTTGGTAGCTTAATGTTTAGGAATCACATGACCACACCTCACAGCCATGCTGTTTCAAATGTAAAAGCCTCCTGCAAATGACCCTTGGCCATTGGTCATTTGACCACAAGTTTGGCTGTTAAAGCAGCATGGCTAACTCATGCAATTAAATATACATATCTTACTGTAACCACAAAAAGAAAAATTAAATTTTCACAAGTACATGTATTATTAAAAATAAACATGAGGCATGCCAAAATCGAACATGGCTGAAATCCAAAACTGGTTAATAATATATCCAAGAAAAAAATTGGCTAAAAGTGGTTGAGTTACAGTAATAAGACAACATTGCGTTTTGGGTCGGGCAGACATGCAGGGTCGATTTTGCTTTATGTATGTTCCCTTAGGGTTGGACCATTTGATTTTTGAGGGGGGGG